GCTTCAGGCTAAGATCCCACTGTTTGTATGTTTATTAAGCTATAGGCTAAGATCCCACTATTTGTATGGGTATTAAGCTTCAGGCTAAGATCCCACTATTTGTATGGGTATTAAGCTTCAGGCTAAGATCCCACTGTTTGTATGGTTATTAAGCTATAGGCTAAGTTCCCATTAATTGTATGTTTATTAAGCTACAGGCTAAGATCCCACTATTTGTATGTTTATTAAGCTACAGGCTAAGATCCCACTATTTGTATGTTTATTAAGCTACAGGCTAAGATCCTACTTGAGAAGTTTAATGTCCCAAATGAGGCTTATTCTTAAGACTTAGTAGTATAAGTTTGCAAAATTGTAAATTAACAACTAGATGTACTTCCACAAGGTCCCTGAAAGTGTTATGTTTCAAGAGTGAATAAAACTAAAATTAAGGGTAAAAAATATTTTTATTTCTTGCTATTGAAATTCATTTGTTATGCTGTGTTGTAGCCTACAGAATGCTTAATTATTCTCGTGATTCATGGCATGTGTATGTTTTACTGATGTCACAACAATACAAATAGCAGCGTTAAGCGTCCGTTATGTGATGACATTTTAGTGCCTACTGACTGACTGACAGACAACACACTACTGTATGGTGGTTAAAACAGGTGGCCTTCAGCCCCTTTCTGGAAAATAAGTATAACCATCCTCTCTGCCCCAGTATAACCCATACTGGCTTCTGTGGGTTGTGGACTAGTCACTGATTTCCTGGTGACCAAAATGAAAAGCCCCCTCCCCCAGTGGCTAAGCAGTAATTCTGAAGACTTATAACACTAAAAACTGGGATTGATACCTGTGGTGTACATTGCACAAATAGCCTATTGTCCAGCTTTGTGCTTAACAACAACAAAAAACAATGCCAGTCCAAAATTGTGTACCTTCAAATTTTTTTCAATATTACATTAAAGCTCATTGACCCATTTTCTACAAATGTCTTCAGATGACTTTCTGAGCAATAAAATGGTAACCCTATAAGCACACAAAATAATTACAGTAATGTTCCGACAGTGGAAGTCACGTGACACTGCTCGTGCATGCGTGACTGAGTTTCTCGAATTATCAGGGAACTCCTTGAATTTTGTTGAAGCCTCTTTGTTAGTATATAAGCTTGATGAGAAAAGCTAGCGGGCGATATTGAATGAATGACAAAGTGAACAGTAGTCATGGTGAGTTTTGGGCTAGTGTGTATTTTGTACTCGTAGAGAGCGAATTTATCGAGATTGTGAATCGCTGTGATTAATAGCGTGTTTATAAAAGTTGTTAAGTTTAAAGTGACGAGATACGTACTGACTGTGGAATTACTATGTACTAAAAGTTTGTATCGAGAAAGAATAAACTGGTTTAATCAAGAAGGGACTTGTATCGCTGAAATTCCTCAGAAAGAATTTCTACCGGAAATTAACAAACAAGCAGATACGCAACAGTAAGATCTGAAAAATTATTCCTAACTGATTTAAGTTAATAATGGAAAGAACAAAATCTGAAACAAATACTGTTCTGTATTAAAATATTTTGCTTCAATATGATATTTTTGGCAAAATAATTGATAATTAAATTTGCTTCATTTGGCTTAGCATGAATGACAGCAAACAGAGAAATTCTTTAAAGGCCTAAATCTTGTGATTTGTAACTGTTGGTTCAGAACTGTATCGCATGCATTGAGATATCTTGGAAGGTACATAGAATGAGTTTTCAAAGCGTGAAATCAAATTTTTGAAAGCTAAAGTAGTAATATTTAATACTGAGTGTTTTTTTAAATTCATGCTTTATTGTCCTAGGAATTATTCCTATCTTTATAAATCTTTCATAATACTTGTGTCTATCAAAAATAAAAATATAATCACTGATAGTTGATAGTTAAAAGTAAACTCAGGGTTTCTTTACAGAATAACATTTCATACTGATTATAAGGTAATATTGGTGGCTAAAAGTAAACTCGGGGTTTCTTTACAGAATAAGATTTCATACTGACTGTAAAGTGATATTGGTGGTTAAAAGTAAACTCAGGGTTTATTTACAGTATAAGATTTCATACTGACTATAAGGTGATATTGGCGGTTAAAATCAGACTCTGTGTTTGTTTACAGACTAACATTTCATACTGGTTATAAGGTGATATTAGTAGTTAAATGTAAGCACAGGCTTTGTTTATAGAGTAACATTGTAACCAAAACTGGAGTAACTAAAGCACACATGGAAGTTCGTTTTTCTGTTTTGTTGAAAGATGTTGTATGAACATTTTTAATACCCAAAATCTCTTACACATTGAAAGATGTTGTATGAACATTTTTAATACCCAAGATCTCTTACACATTTAAAGATGTTGTATGAACATTTTTAATACCCAAGATCTCTTACACATTTAAAGATGTTGTATGAACATTTTTAATACCCAAGATCTCTTACACATTTAAAGATGTTGTATGAACATTTTTAATACCCAAGATCTCTTACACATTGAAATATGTTGTATGAACATTTTTAATACCCAAGATCTCTTACACATTGAAATATGTTGTATGAACATTTTTAATACCCAAGATCTCTTACACATTGAAAGATGTTGTATGAACATTTTAATACCCAAGATCTCTTACACATTGAAAGATGTTGTATGAACATTTTAATACCCAAGATCTCTCACACATTGAAATATGTTGTATGAACATTTTAATACCCAAAATCTCTTACACACTGAAAGATGTTGTATGAACATTTTAATACCCAAGATCTCTAACACATTGAACGAGGCGATTTTGACAGTGATTTTATAGGTGTATATGAAAAACATAGTTTAAGAGATTCCCAACAGTACAAGCCTATAAGATTATTCAGGTTAACATCAATAGAGTTTATCAAGTTTTATTTCTGTTTCCTGAGTATGTAGGATAGCTAAAGTAATATTGTCAGTTATGTTTTTTAAAATAAAACACTTTTTCAGTAACCAAACACTGCTGAGAAAAGCCAACCTAATGAGTAAGATGGAAATAGACAAAAGGATGAAGGAAGAGCTTCTTGCCGAAAGCTCAGATGGAATTCGTAAACGGTAATGTCTGTTATTTGTTAAAGGATCATGTTTTTAATCTTCATCATTTCATGAATATTTATGTTTGCCATTTTAGTACTAAAGGTTTTTAATAAATATTCTACTATGATTTTTTACGTTGTTAGTTAACAGCACTGTTCCTTCATGGATCTGTTTTATAGCTGGTCTGTATGGTATTGTAGTTTTAAATATTATGTTTGATTTATTTTTTATATAACTTCTCTCACCAGTAGTGGGCCTTTAAAACACTATTATTATGAGTGACCATCTCTCAGGCTTCGAGTGCACACCTGAATGTCAAATTTCAAACTTTTAAGTAAAAATATTAATTCTATTTCAATGGTTTTTAACTTGCAATATTAAAAAGATGTACATGATAAAATTTGACTTGTTTTGGCAACAGATTAAACGAATTATAAAAACTAAATTTCTACCCTTCTTCTAGCTTGCTCTGACTGGGTCACTGTTTTTAAATAACATTTAGGAGTTAGAAAAAGCTTCCATTTGCATTAAAATTACTGATTGAATTAGTGACATAAATATGCCCCTGCATCCCTCACAATTGCAGGGAGGTTAAGCCAAAAGGGGGGACCTAATCAGTCAGAATCATAATTATATGGAAATAAATGTGCGGGGCCAATTTATACAGCCCATCTTTTGTAGTTACACCACTGGATAGACTCCAGTCTTAGTCAAGGATGATTCCAAGAAACACAAGCTTGGCTGGTAGTAACATAAAGAGAACTTTCAAAATTACAACAGGTGATTAGGGAAGTGGAAATATGCTAATACATCATTCATTTGTGATTAGGAAAGTGGAAATATGCTAATACATCATTCAGTTGTGATTAGGGAAGTGGAAATATGTGAATACATCATTCAGTTGTGATTAGGGAAGTGGAAATATGCTAATACATCATTCGGTTGTGATTAGGGAAGTGGAAATATGCTAATACATCATTTGGTTGTGATTAGGGAAGTGGAAATATGCTAATACATCATTCGGTTGTGATTAGGGAAGTGGAAATATGCTAATACATAATTTGGTTGTGATTAGGGAAGTGGAAATATGCTAATACATCATTCGGTTGTGATTAGGGAAGTGGAAATATGCTAATACATCATTCTGTTGTGATTAGGGAAGTGGAAATATGCGAATACATCATTCAGTTAATGGAACCATTTTGGGAACAGGAACAAAAACATTGGAAGTGCACAGCACACAGTTTTTTTAAAGTTGGTGGTGCAATTGCACCCATGTGCACTACTGACGTTATATGCCCCTGTACCTCAACTTCAACTCTATAATACATCTAGAAACATCAAGAGTATACTTTTATCAATATGCTTAATGTAGGTAAGAAAATAAGACCCAAGCCCTGAACCCTGAGGCATTCAACTAGTAACAAGGGTCCAGCTTGACTTTGCTCCTCTAACAATCTTTACCCCATACAACTGCCTTACAGTTGAATTACCTAATTTTTCCTTCAACCAATAACAGTGTGGTATTCTTATCTTTTTTGTGGGACCTTATCAAAAGCTTTTGAAAATCTAAGTACACCAAGTCCATAACTTTTTCTTTGTCCAGGTGACAAATAACATCCTCATAAACATAGATCATTAAGACTATATTTCCCTCAAGGAACCTGTGTTGGCTTTTATTTATAACACATTTCACTAGATGATTTTGTACGATATTTCCCTAAAGGAACCTGTGTTGGCTTTTATTTATAACACATTTCACTAGATGATTTTGTACGATATTTCCCTAAAGGAACCTGTGTTGGATTTTATTTATAACACATTTCACTAGATGATTTTGTACGATATTTCCTAAAGGAACCTGTGTTGGCTTTTATTTATAACACATTTCACTAGATGATTTTGTACGATATTTCCCTAAAGGAACCTGTGTTGGCTTTTATTTATGACACATTTCACTAGACGATTTTGTACGATATTTCCCTCAAGGAACCTGCATTGGCTTTTATTTATGACACATTTCACTAGACGATTTTGTACGATATTTCCCTCAAGGAACCTGCATTGGCTTTTATTTATGACACATTTCACTAGACGATTTTGTACAATATTTCCCTCAAGGAACCTGTGTTGGATTTTATTTATAACACATTTCACTAGATGATTTTGTACAGCTTCTTTCTTTAGACTCTCGAAAGTGATCTTTAATTTCTAGGACAACAATTATCACCGAGTCCTCAGACACCTGCCCAATGTCTGTTGACCTGTAAAAAAAAATGAAGGAGAAAGGTTTTCATATGTGATATTTAAAACTCTCAGTTTACTAATGAGTTTACTTTCTTTTCGTTTAAAGTTTTACTTTTGGTCTGTTACAGATCACAACCAAACAAGGAAGGCTTAGCAAGGACAGCTTCTAAAATAACTGAAAGTCTTGGATCGGTCAGTAGAATGATGGCCGATCAAGTGAAGCAAAGTGAAAGTACCCTTCACACATTAGGTGATGAGTATAAAACTTTTCATTGTTTTTCTGTTTAGGTTGCATCTAATCATTCTGTTATATTGATCTCATTCAGATTTCAATCAAAGCTTTATCTTATGACATGGTAATTTAGTAAAATGAATCAGCAGACTGTCATTCGTTGGTTCAGGTATTTGTAAAAATGAAAGATGGTTCATGTCATAGTCTTGTTGGTAAGTGTTTTAATAGCGTGAAAGAAAATGGCATGAGAAGAAACATACAACATATCTCATTTAAGTTCAAAGCCAAAATTTTTGTAAGTAAATTTAATGCCACTGCAAGGTGTTTTGGATTACAGACGGCATATTTTTGTTAAAACTTCGGAGCAACATGTATAGTCAGGTACAGTCTGAAATTTCTCTCTTAAACCTAAAGATCTGAGGCTTACAGAGGTGCATCTACAAACATTAAATAATTTTATGATGAACATCTATTGTAAACTTTAAAGTGGCTAATAGTGTGAGAAGATCACACTACTGGTAACTGCCCTGTGTTCTGTAACTCAGAATGGTAAACACTCAACATTTCAGTGTGTATACAGCAGTATAAAACACCTACCATTTGTTAATGTTTCCTTCTAAACTTTATCATGTTGAAATTATACAATATATTTTTAGTTAAGTAAGAAACAGTTTTTAAAAAACAAATCTGTTACCATTAGCCTCCTAAAGACAAAAAGTGGAGACAAAGCAAGTTTATCATACAACCATCTTTATTTATACACAAATATTAGCTTCCTAGAGGCAAAGCAAGTTTATCATACAACCATCTTTATTTATTAACAAAAATTAGCCTCCTAGAGACAACGAGTCGAGACAAAGTAAGTTTATCATACAACCATCCTTACTTATTAACAAAAATTAGCCTCCTAGAGACAAGGCAAGCTTATCATACAAACATCTTTATTTATAAACAAAAATTAGCCTCCTAGAGGCAAATCAAGTTTATTATACAACCATCGTTATTTATAAACAAAAATTAGCCTCCTAGAGACAAGGCAAGCTTATCATACAAACATCTTTATTTATAAACAAAAATTAGCCTCCTAGAGGCAAATCAAGTTTATTATACAACCATCTTTATTTATAAACAAAAATTAGCCTCCTAGAGGCAAATCAAGTTTATTATACAACCATTTTTATTTATAAACAAAAATTAGCCTAAATTTTGCTAAGTAATTCAAATGAATAATTCTAGGTTATACTGTATATAATAACATATTTGAGTTAAACCTTTCACTCATTATGTTTTGTGTTTTTTATTAGGTAGTCCAAGTTAATAATTCTAGGTTATACTGTATATAATAACATATTTAAATTAAACCTTTCACTCATTATGTTTTGTGTTTTTTATTAGGTAGTCCAAGTTAATAATTCTAGGTTATACTGTATATAATAACATATTTAAATTAAACCTTTCACTCGTTATGTTTTGTGTTTTTTATTAGGTAGTCCAAGTTAATAATTCTAGGTTATAGTTTATATAATAACATATTTAAATTAAACCTTTCACT